AGGTCTGGCCCATTTTGATACTCTCTAAATGACAAACATGGCATCTGAGCATTCAGGTACCATGGTTTCTGCAGCTCCTTCAGTCCGCTCCTGATAGAATACGGACGTATCCGTACCTCCTTCAAGTACTGGGATACGAATAAACTGCAATGCCATTCTGCCTCTTAAGTAATAGTATGGTATGCAGCGAGAGTTCCTGCGTTGTTTCTCGCAGCCGGTAGGGCTGCAGAGCCGGGTGAAGGGCTCCCTCAAGAACTTGTCACGCAAATGCCAAAAATCTTAGTGTTTGTCATTCCTGACATATTTAGATGAAAGGCGCTATAGAGCTTTCAAGTCAAATATTTTAATTAAACTTGAACATACACATGCAAGCAGAAACAAGTACAAACATTGAGCACAGTTGGTTGATACGGTTACATTATCAAACAAGAATCATCTTAATCAGTATCTTTTTCCATATTTAGAACTCCATATTCGTCTCTTACACTTCTTAGTTACTCTAAAGATGAATAAAGTTGTCTATCTTCCATTCCAATTCTCTTTTTACAATCCGAGGATGTTTTTTGTGATAGGCTTTTCAAACAAAAAGAACTTGCCAAATCTTTCTTCAAGCTTTTCAGATGAAGCATCATCTCAGGTTTTCAGCAATTATGATCACTAATAAGATACTGCTTCTAATCCAACAGGGAACACTTAGATTTTTATGGATTTTTATACATATGTATTTATGAAAAAAGCTCATTGTGCAGCTTTCCACAGAGACAAAAGATTGGTGTGTTCTTGGTGCAGCATAAGAACCAGCATTTTCAGGCTTTTGGGACAGACACACATCTCTCTGAGCATGGCAGGCCATTTTCTGGCTAGAGAGAAATCACCCAATAACAATATAAGATGACTGAATGATACAGAGATTTTAAGATATTGCCATTTCGCACAGAACCTCCAACTAAATGAAAAAAACATGTTCAGCACATTTCATATGATCTTAAGATATTTAAGGTTGTAGCTGGCACAAACCTGTTCTTCCAGGACTAAAGACAGGTCTAATATATTAGCTTAAGGAATTCAATTGCACTTGGTACTGGAACTATTTACCAACAGACAGATCACAGAGAACCCAAATGAGACCACCACAAACAGCCAACGTGTTAGAAACCATGCTCCATCAAGAGGGAGTGAAGGACATGAGCGCTCAGAAACAGTTAAGAGATCTTTAAAGAGAGAGACAGCCATGAAGAGGGATATAAATTCTTTCCCATGCCTCTTGAAGGATAATACAATTATTCATAGATTCAAAATTGCAGCAACAAAATATGGTTTGGTCACTGAGAAAATTGGCCAAAGAAACCTCCAATAATGAGATCTCAGAAAAAGGTTGGTCAAATCTGTCAGGAATGCTACAGAATTCATTCTCCCTTCAAGACAGAATAAATTATTTCTATGGTCCTTTCACCCCTATTTTCTATATTTTTATGATCACATTCTTAAGTGATTTTTTAGGGTGTTTCTTCCCAACAAACAACATTCTACAACCTCACTAAGTTTATTCTTATGCCTATCTTTAGGATTGACTTCAGGCTCCTCACCAAGCCAGGCAAATCTCAGATGTTTTCTTAGTAAAATATACTCGTACGAATACTCAGCAAATGTGCTGAACTCCCTATATCTGGAGAGGATGGCTCGGAAGACATGCCACACAAACCATAAAGCAGACCAGATCCATCAAAAGACTTTTGTGCTTCCATGAAAAAACAACCCCAAACCTCAAAAATCCACCTGCTAAACAAGCACTGCCTCATTTTCCAGGAACATAACATTAAAGGAATAATTAAAATTGAGAACTATTCACTGTACTGCCATTCCTGCATAAATTACAGGAGTATTAGAAAGGGATGGGCACATCAGTATTGGGGGGGAAGAGAATTTGTTTTAAAAAGCATCATACAATATCTAATGATGGTACCTAACATATGTCTGGTACTTAACATATGTCACCTTGACATGCAGACTTAGTCTGACATACTGGAAATGCTAAATCATTTTCTAGTTTCTTTAAGTATAAGAAGCCATAAATTAAGGCATCTTATGCATCAGATTAAGTGGACAAATGAAAACATTTCTTGGAATTTAATTAGTAATTCTTACAATTCCATAAAAATACTTAAAAAGCAAAATCCTCTGAACAGAGAATTTTGTGGAAACAGATGAAAGACCATTTTATCTTCTTAAGAAACAAGGGATGCTTCTACCTGGAGGTCAGAGATCCTCAGTAGTGCTGCAGTGCCCAGCAACACAAATAAACATAGTTAGAAGCTGAGACTGGGAAAGATATTGCCCACAAGAGAAGAAACCATTCTCTTCTGACAGTATTTGTACACCATAAATCTCACCAATACACCAAGTACATCTCCTTGACTGTTAAACAAAAAAACATCACCAGCAATGCAACACTACTTAATCCTGTTCTACAGATGGTCCTACTCAATCTAGAACAGTCCTTGCTACCAGCTCCTGTTTTAGGTCAATTAGCTCTAGATAGAGTTAGTACGGGTCTGGCCTCAATCAGCTCCTTCAGCTGACAGCTCTACTGTTGTGCTGTACCATGGCTGGCAGGCTGAAAGAGAAGGGACTTTCCAAGTCTCTACCAACACGCATATCAAGAGAGTTTCGAAAAGGAACGTGCGTTGTGTCTAATCGCAAGCCATCTCACTCACACATGGGTATTCGAAACACCTCTGCACAAAAGAGCTCTAGAAAGGAAAAAGGGTATAAAGCGATTAGACCGAGAGCAATGGCAGGGCTGCCTAACTACAGGATCAAGTCAGAGCGTATAGGTAAGAGATACCAGCCACCCCGTCGGCCAAAGGCAGGGAATTAGAGGAAGCACTATCACATGCTAAGGAGAACAGCTAAGAAAAATGAGATTTGGCTTTTGCTTTATATTTAGGGTTGAGGCAAAAGCTGTGACAATAAATAAAGCATGTGGCAGGAATAAACACTAAAAATGGAAACTAAATGTGATTTGTGATCTTTATAGTATACAGAGTGCAAGCAGCTTTTAATTCTTCTTTAAAATCCTGTCAAAATAGACAAGATTGGTCCTCCTGCTGCTCAATTTTTTCTTTTTCCTTGTGTGGTCAAAGAAACAAAGTCATAGATTCAGCTTGTCACTAACTGGTTAAAAATTAATCAACTATCTTGATCAGTGTTAAACAGCTAATTGCAATACTTGCTTTTATTCTTCCACAGTTGGAAGAAAAACTTAAAATGTCTATGGCAATACGGAAGAAGTAACAAAGGCTACATGTAAAGAACCTGCTTTACCTTGCTAAAACCTCGGTAGCTGAAAGTTAAGAAGGACAGAGCAAATCTGCTTCCGTATACAATAAAAGAGGGGTTACACATGCATTTAACGAAGCTAATTGCTCTTGCTTACCATAAGACTTATTGAAACAAATAACTTATGGTTTTCTGAAATAGAGCATTATGATAAAAACTATTTCATTGAGAATGCTAGTTTGGGCAGTGATACCCATTTGCTATGAAGAGCTGTATACAGTGGTGACTGGCATTGTTTTGTCTCACCACATAATAAAAAGTTGTGCACAATTGCTTTATTCAATTATTCATGAGTAACAAACCTGTCATACCTCTTGCAGGCCACTGGGATTCCTGCAGATATACTCAAAAATAAATATTTTTAGCCCAACAGAAGCAATTTCTTTGAACTTGTACTTTATTCTTCTGTACTTAAGTTACCATGTCTGAGGAATCAGACATCCTCCAAGTCAGGTTGTCATCAGCTCTATTTAGTCAATAACATCCTTTATGTTAATATTGTGAAAGACCACACGGTCATTACGCAATTCACAATTTTAAGTGTATTTAAGTTTTATGAGCTGAAGAAAAGCATTTATAGAAAGTCATTAAGACTTCGGCATTTCAACTTCCTCTCCATTTCTACAGAGTAAAGCAAAGCCTCCAAGGCCTTGTTCAGTCCCTGTTAACACACTGTTCACTTCGTCACAGATTACAGCAGTTCTGCAAGTTTCTCTAATTAACGCTTTGAATAATTTAAGAAGCTTTCTTCCAAAAAACACCTCCAATATACCACAGCATTAACCCACATCACATCCTTCTTTCTTCCTCAGCGTAAACCCAAGGACAGATTTCACACTGATAACACCATCTTGCTATGTCCCCTCATCCCAGTTTCTTCAGAGCCGTAACAAATTAATTTGTCTTTTCATTAAGACAGAAGAAATTTGGTTGAGATACTTTCTAACCAAAGCCCCAGATCTTAAATATGCACACTGCCATCAGGACCAGCATTGCTAGTCCTCCACAACACTGGTGCTCAAGGGACACTCTGCAGATAATAGACCCCTCATCAAAAGATAAGGAAATCTCATTTAGATGCAGAAGTGAACTGGTAACAGTTTAAACCCAGCCCCTAACAGAAAGCATCCCTCTCCAATATACTGCTTAAATTAGTTTCACAACACACTTCCCAAGAAAATAAAAACAATCTTCCCTTGAGTAGAGAAACCACACTAACACCAGCACCTGCACACAACTAAATTAGGTGGCTTTAACTACCAACTAAGCAGAGCCTAGCTTTTTAACCGAACCTTAAAAACAGCCATCCAAATCCTCTTCTCTGACCAATTATCAGAACTGCCAACTGTAAGCAAAAGGAGTTCATTTGAGGAGTCTTTCAGACTCAAGTTACAATGAACTTAAAAGAAAGGCATATTATATTTCAATGTGATTTCAGTGATAACTGCCTGGCAGTAAAGCATTATAGCAAACATCAGTTGCTGAATAACTGCTAATAACTTACAATTCTGAAAATATAAAATATGGATTATTAGGTCTGCTAAACCTGCTACCTCCCTCGTCAGCTTAGGCCCATTTTTTATTTTGGGATTACACGGTATGAAACACACAAAAACAAACGACGACGACACACACACACGAGATGAGCCTTGGAAACTTACCCCTCCTGACAACTTAATCACCCTGACTTTGCTGCCGACATGGGGCCCATCTCCACTACCACTGTTTGTCCGCTGCATGACAGTCCTTTTCACGCCAGGTTTCAGTTCCTGGGGCCTTGCTTGTGCCGAAGCCACTCGAGCAGCCTGTGTCGTGGGCAGCGATGCTGCAGCAGGTTTTGTCTGTAATACTTTCTGCGGTGTCTGAGGCTGACTCGGAGGTACTGTCCTCGTCTGCCGCAGCTGCTTCACTGGCTTCATCTGCTGTCCTTGATACTGCATATTCGCCCCGACCTGTGGGAAATCTGTGGGTTTGGGTTGGATATTTGGAACTACCATATCTTGCTTTTTAACAAGGAGTCTGTTTTTCACATTTTGCCTGGTCTGTAAGCCAGAGTGGGGTATGTAAGGGCTGCCATTGGTGGGGAACTCAGAGGAGTCGTCCTCCTGCTGCATGTAGGACTGTTGCGTAGAAGGTTGCTGCTGCTGCTGCTGCGCAAGTCTTTCGAGCAGTTCTCTCTTTCTAGCACCAGCCTGCTGCTGCCGTCTCAGCTCCTTCTGCTTCAGAATTTCTTCTCTTAGACGCTTCTGCTCCTCTATCTTCAAACGATACAATCTAGTTTCTTCGTCTTCCTCTGGATACTACAAAGGAAAATACAAATGGATTTATAAAATTCTCAACAAATGCCCAGCTTGGTCAAAACATTAAATTTTGTTTCAGATGTCACAAAGCTATGACTCTCTGAAGAGCTTTTTAAATTATCCCTGATACCAAACTAAGACTATTAGCAGAGTATATCTACTGGTAAGGTTTATTTGCTATTCATTACAGACAAACAGCTCAAATCTTGTTTAGGACTTAGATACACTACTTCCTAGATGGAGGGGGTGGGGGGAGAGCTTTAATACCAGTTGAAAAATCTTATCAGAATACTAAAAAAAAATAAAATTAAGTTTTACAAATTGGAACTCATTTAGAAGTTTCTAAAACCAATTAAACTATTAATATAATTCAAGATATCAAAATATGTTTCAAATGGAAAGTAACAATACGGAGGCAACCCACTGTCACACAGGTTTTATCTTGCTCTTTTCTGACAAAGTAACAAAAGGTAGGGTGGTAAATGACCTGAAAGGCCCTGATTAGAACTATTGATTTTTCTCACAGAATTTTCAGCCTGATCTCAAACTCATTTGTCACACAATAATTGGTTATAATGAACAGCGCAAGTCAATCTCTCTGACCTTGAACTCGTGCACTCTCTTCAGAATCAAAATGTTCCCAAATGCAGTGTTGGAATATTAATGGTATATAGAGAATGCCTTTAATATTCCAGCCCTGGGCCCTTCTGAAAGTATTACACACCATCAAATAACCTTTCTAAAGATTCTCCAACTTTGGCACAACAGGTTCTTATGAAAAGCTGTATGAAATGGGTAAAAGTCAAGGAAATGCAGATTCTCATCATTCTAGAAAAAAAAAAAAATCAAATTGCTCTTGTGATACAAACACATTCACTTTTCAAAATTACAAGGCATACTTTTTCATTATGTTATTTTTGATTTCTAACAGTTTGAAATATTAAGTTAGAGACTTGTAGAGACTGCTTACAGATGGTAACGAGCATAACATTCTACTCTACCCTAACAAAAACAGGCTCTCAAAGTAACAATACTTTGCATTTTGGTACAGCATAAAGAATGCTAAAACATTTCTCACATACTAGGAATCCGTGATGAAGTTATTCACCTTGCAGTAACTGGGTGCAAGCTCTTGTCAACACAAATGCCATTTTTTGCACATACAGGACCCAAATGTGCAACAAATTTTTTTTTTTTCCTTTTTTTTTTAAATTCAAGCTTTTATCCCTGGTACATCCCAGAATCCTCCCCAACCCAAGGAAAAAAAGGGCAGAACAGATCCAACCATAAAGTTTGTTCACAGATATAAAAGCCCAGTAGAGTAGCATTTGTATTCGCAGAATCCAGATGCACAAATCCTGAACGCTTGTTTCCTTCAGATATAACTGCTTCTTCCCTGAGCACCTACTGATAGGGATTATTCCCACAGTGACTAAGAAATAGCTGCATGTCTCACGCTAGAATTCAAGCCTAAACAACGGTTAAAGTAAGACTTCAACAAAACTGGATTTTTTTTATTATTTTTTTTTTTACTATGGGCTATAGTTCTGAGATGAGGTCTGACACTGTCCTTTTTAGGAGAATGATTCATATACCAAAGGGTTCTGATCTTGCTCTATACTTTTCAGACTGCGATGGTAATGATTAATGGCTAATCACTGTAACAACTAGATTACAGGTCTTCACTGATAGATGGTAACAGGAACGTACTTCTACAAAGTAAAATGGGCAGTAGTAAGAGACTCAAATATTTCATCTTAAATTGAAAACTGGAGATGATGGATTGTAGTAAAATAAGGCTCTTACAAAATACAGCAAAAGGGTAAGACCCTTAAATATAGTTTGCATAGGATGACAAAATACAGATAAGCTCCAGATAGGAGGAGGATGTGCTGTTATGCAGATCCTGATGCAAAGAATAAAATTTTCAGTCACTTTCAGAGACAGTAAATATCTCAATTACTGAATTTGTCCAAACACAAGACCTCTTCCACTTAATGAGTTAGTTTATTTACTTACTTTGCTTTAGATCAGAATAGTCTACATTTTATCTAAATGGGTTTGATAGATGCCAGTGAGCCAGTACCAAATTTACGTTCGGAGGTAGCACTGTGGTTTTTTTTCTCTTTATTTTTAATCGAGGGTGTCAATACCAGCAAGAATCTGCATGAGACCAGCTCTTCTATCAGCTGTCCTCTATTATCAGGGACTTGTCTCCTCATATTATCATCTAACCAGTTCTGAATGCCTGGGAAGATGTAGATCACAATCCAGTAAGTACAAAACACTAACTCAAAGGCTACATATAGCAGCACAGAGATGCGTACTTTGTGGCACACTTAAATGAGTCTTGCCAGCAGACAAGGAATGAATGTCCTGAGGGACTCTGACCAATACATCTGCGCAGCAGGGACAGATACACTGATTTCAACTACACTAGCAGTAAACACAGAAGACAACTGACAAACTGTATTACCAACACAGATGAAGTTAGATGAATGCTTAGTAAAATCTTCAGGCAACTTGATCTCAAATATAATCTGAAATTTTCCTTTCAGGAACTCAGTAATTAGGAAATCAGTACAGATCCTATGAAATCAATTCCTTCTTAAAGGGTAAGCTTTGAAATCAAGGTCCAAGAGCTCCGAGGTTATAAGACAACTGCAGATCAGCCTGTTAACAGGCTATAGGTACCCCTAAATCCTTCACCTACATAAGCAAGTTGCTACTACTGTTAAGTTCTCAGTAAAATACCCTTGCAGGTAGAGTAAGACCAAACAATATAAATGACCCTGCAATCATTAACAAAGTGTTCGAATTAGGAAGTCAGGTTTAATTGGAATTAGTTGTGCAAATCACCCAACAGTACAGATTCAGAATGGGCAACAAACTCCTCACTAGGCTGAAAATGGGCAGTTATATCCTCTGCTGCTCAGGTTTAAGAGGACCTTGTATACTACTATACTATACTATAGTGTGTGTGTATATATATGTACTATCCACCTATAGTACATATAAACGACCTATCCTATGTAATAAGGAGCTTCATCATACAGAACAGGCAAGACAGTACATCAGGTCAAGATGGGAACAGCACACAACACCTATTGCTAATGATTTTTATCCCATTAGTTTAATAAGTCCGGTACAGATTTCTCCAACAAGCAGTAGCACTGCCAAAAACAAAAAAAAGAAAGCAACTGGGAGAAAGTAGACATCCTTCAAAGATGTCAAAGTTCACAGCTTGTGTTTGGAAGTATCCTGCCAAAAGCAACATTATCTGTAGGTGAAGAAGCAGAAGAACTTGAAGCAGCCTTTTTCCTAGATAACCTCTTGACACTTCACTTTTTTCTGTAGAAAACTCCACAACTTGAAGAAATGGTATATTGTAAGCAGCTCCTCCTGTTACAGGAGGCTACAGAGTACAAAGCCAGAGATGCAAAGCAGTTCCCTTGGTTTTGTGGAGGGTTTTTTTTTGTTGGGTTTTGGGGGTGGGTGGGGAAGGTTGGTTTTGTTCATTTGTTTTTGTTATTGCTGTTTAGGTTTGTTCAGTTTTGTTTGTTTGTTTGTTTTTGAAAGTGGAGATTCTCATCTGCCTTTGAACAGTTCTCGAACAAAAAACTTATTTCATTGCAGTTTGAAGGGGAGACCAAGCCTTAGCTATAGGTTTTCTTCTGCCTTAAGGTCAAAAGAGGCTTTGATGGAAAGTGCCAAAAGAAGGTGTTACAGGCTGCTTTTCCAAGTCTAACTGAAGAGCAGCAGTAAGAAAAGCAGCAGTTCTACAGCATTCTCCAGGAGAACTTAGAATGGCACCGTTGATTAAGGAAAAGAGCAAAGACATGCTCTAAAACAAGGGTTTAAGTTTTCTACTGTAATTTAAGTCCTAGTATCAGTAGCTTGCTTCTTATATAGTGAATAAAAAAACCAAACCCACACCTTTTTAGACGTCTGCAGGCTTTATTACTAGTTAATAGAATTAAATGCAGAGTCATAAAAACCAGATACTATAAGTGTTCTGGTTTGCTATCAAGGAGCAAAAAAGGAATCTTGCAGCCAGGCTCACTTGTGTCCCTCGGCAGAATGGGTGCAAGGACAGAGCAATCAAAATGGTTTGATCTGTGGCACCTACACAAACCTGTTCAGCAATCTTTACTTTTTCAGTTGTAACAGAAGAAACAAAAGAGGCTAGAATCGTTTGTCCAAAAATTTGTGACAAGTCTTCATAAAAGGTAAGGCCAGATCCAAATGACATCATTTGGCTTCTTGTGTTCAAAACCACAAAGTATCTTCAATAAAGGCACCTGCATACACATCACACATTTCACATTACTGATGACATCGGCTCCTGAACCCCAGGAAGGTACGAGTCACCCTACAAAACACAGGTGCTGTGCATCTTGGGCAAGCAGGAAGAGAATTAAGAACAAGGTTACAAGTTACTCTGAGAAGCACACTGCCCTCTTGCCATCTTCTAACTGGAAGAAGATAAGAAGAATCTTCTAAGCACAAGACAGGAGGCACCATTATAAAAATTTGGAAATCAAAACTATACTGGAGAAAACTCAAATTTAGACACGTACAAATTTTCAGGTAGTTAATTTCAAAAAATATGAAAAGATTTAGATAGATTTGCTCCAATAGCAATGTAGCAACTATTTTCCATATTGCAAGTCTCTTTAAAAAAAAAAAAGAAAACAACAGAAAACCCAACAACCCAACTTCAAAATTTACTGGATTTGGGAGAATGGAATGTGAAGGCTTTCTTTCAGTACATCAGGGACATTAACTGCAAAGTAGTTGATAGTAACAGTAGTAGTAGATACTAAAAGTAGTAGTATCACTACACCTGTGATTATGCAGCACTCCACTAATTTCTCTCCTGTCCTGAGCTCCAATATCCATTTCTGCTAAAGAGATTCACTTCACCTTTCTACATTCCCTCCCTTCTTTAAACTCAAAAATGCTTAATATTGCCTTAATTCCTCTTATCCTAAATTGACCTCAACAATTAGGCCCACAGTCATCACCCATGCTTTCCTATGTCATTGACAAAATGATTTTTCAGACTGAGGATATGCAAGCATAAATCCTGGAGAGTAACTGCTATTCTAAACGGACAAAGGCATTTCAACTCAGTGTTTTGCAGCCTCACAGGAACAGGAACACAAGCATACCATTAGTAAAGTAGAAATACAGTTTTTAATCTTCTAGTCACTCAGGTTGCAAACCTTTCAAATATCTATTTTGAAGGTGAGCAAAACCTTTAATAGCCAATATTGCTATTTTTTTTGTGCTTCCTGAATGACAGGGCATTCATAGATATGGCCACTGACTCGTTGGGAAGAAGGATGCAAAGAAAAGTCTTAATAATTTTCCAGTTGAAGACACTTGCAAAATAACCTGCCCAATTCAGTTATGAGCAATACAGCTAGAAAAGATGACAGAACTTAACTCTTTCTCATCTTCACAGGAAGCAAAAGAACAGGACGAAGTTAGCTAATTACAAGAAAAACACACAAAAAGACTGGAAAAAATTATAATCTACCTAAGGGGAGAAACGTAATAACCTACATTACAACAATAGTGAAGAATACAATCAAATGCTTGGAAACGAACATTACTAGCGCAGCAATGCTGTTTGTAGAAGTGACAATAAGAGGCATCAGTGAACAAGGCTATCGCAGCGGCACAGCTGAAAAGGTACAACTGCTACTACACCGCTGTTTGCAGCGCAAGGCTCTGTTTCAAGCCCGCTTTAAAAGGAGAAGCGTTCTGCGTGCGCACACATTCACACAGTTTTCTAGTACTTGCTAAGTGCATCTACAAAGGCTTTACTTTTCTGGTTAAGAATAGGAAACACTAGGAGACATCACCTTTTCCAAGGCAACTTTTTTTTTTTTATCCTGTTTTGCAAAATCTTACGTGAAACAGGTATCAAAGTGTTTTCAAAGATAGCTTTGACATAGAAATAAAAAGAAAGCTTTATTTGTAACACCAAGAATTCACATGAGTAAGATCAGTTAGTCTTATAACTACAGGTTTGTTAGAATATGTTTAAAACTTAAAATGGAGAGAACAAGATGACTGCTTTGTTTGGATTTTTTTTTAATTCATTTGATTAAGAGGAGTGAAAAATAGTCATTCACGTTTCTAAACACTGACAGAGATATTTTGGAACTAATGCCTTAATTTTCATATGACTAAACTATAAAAGAACTATAAAAGATGTTTTAGATGAGGAGGCCTGTAGCTGATTTTCTTCAAAACTTACCTTACTAATGTCCTGAAAGACAGAGGCTTCTCTAAGAGGCACTGCATTTTCTGTGACTTAGATTATTCCAAGAGACTGAACTGAGGGGAAGGGGATTACTTAAGTCATTTTTTCAAAAAAGATCAAAATTAAAAGCTGAAAAGCTGAAATAAGGATTTTTTTTTTTTAATACTACCATTGAAAAGCAAGTGCACAGGAGGTCAAACACTGCTGGCTATGGGTTTCTTTTGTGCCTCATTTGTGAAAATTGGTTATGACCATCCCTAATTCAAGAGCAAGATGAAAAGCTAATTATGAGCAGCTTAAAGGGAAGACAGTATTATCACAACTAAAGCTTTCAAAAGTTGTTGAAGAAAACCTGGTCCTTGAGACAAGATTAATGGTCAACTAAACTATAAAGATTTACAGTTCTGCTCAGAATAACCTGACACTCGGAAATGATACAAGGGGCATTTAGCCATCATGTTCCTCTGGTACCTCCTGATGTTCAGGATTAACGGCACCATCAGTGCGATCCTACCCACTCTCTCAAGCTAACAGCACTCATGGAGAGTCTTCTCCAGCTTCCAGGAGGATCTGCGCAGGGAGACAGTCATCTGTTCACACTGCATGATCCAGTGGAGCCCAAAGCACTGGCATCTCATTTTTCAATTGTGCAGAGTACCAGCAGAGCAAACAGCATAATTTTCTCCAAAATGAAAAACCTGAGAGCATCTCCTATTTTCCGTCACATCAAAAGGTTTCATAAAAGAGAGATTTTCTTCTTCAAGAGCAAGAAGCTCCATGGACGATGCAGTTGCAACCTCCTGCTCAAGACCCTAGAGGAGACTGGGCAGCCTAAAGAAAAACAGCATGAGGAAGATAGCTCTCTTAAATAGGCCTTTTTTTTTGAGCTATAAAGCATCATAGGAAATGGAAGGGAAGAGGTTTGCTGGCTTAGAAAGAAGTGATTACCTGAAGAAAAAAAACAAAAAACCAAAACCAAACTGATTATAATCCTGGAAGACAAAAATGGACACGATGGGCATTTCAGAGGCTTCTGTCTTTGATGACGTCTACACAACCTGTCTTTTCATAGTAGAAATGACTCCTCCTCCTGCAAAACAGACTCACCACAGCCCTGCCAACCTTCCAGACTTCTTTTTTTATCAATGGAGACTGGTTTTGCTATCACATTAAAGAGGAAAGTGCTACTCAGAAGGGAGGCCTCTAGTGGCACCAAAAATACTGGGTGACATACATTAAGTGTGCTTACAGTTCACAAGTCAGACTAGAAAAGTTTTTAAAAGGTGGGAGCTTTTTGTTCGTGGTTTTTTCTTTTTTTTTTTTTTTTTTTTTTAAAAAAAAAAAACTTCACCCCTGTTGTACTTTTTTCTCTTGAAAATGTTTTTTTTTGTGGTTTTTTTTTTTTTTTTTTTTTTTTTTTTAAGAAAGAAAAGCCTTACCTCTGGTTCAGATTTTACTTCTGGTTTTGCTTGGCCCACTGGTGTGATTGCTTTAGCTTTCATCTCAGGCCTTCCCTGTGAGTTTCCAACACCAGCTACAGATTTGGTGGCAGACATCGTGCTGGTAATGGGTTTGACCTGAGCAGCGGGGGTTGAGGTTCGCCTGTTGTTGCTCATTTCCATAGCATGCGATGGTGCTATCGGCAACTCACGCAAGTTACTATTTCTTGGAGCAGTTGACTGTAGCTGCTGATTTGGACGCTTGACAATATTTTGTGATGGTGTATTCTGAAAAGAAAATTTAAAAACCACAGACTTTCACTACAAACCAGACTAAAGTGTTTCCTGTTTCACATTTTCATGATTCAGTTAAGTTTGAGGGGGAAAAAAAAGCTTTTCCAAGAGGCACAATATTTTTCAATGTGAAAAAAAATTACCAAAACGAGAACATTTTAACAATGTTTGTGTTTTTCTTTAATTAAAAGCAAAACTGAATCTCACTTGTTTAACATCTTTCTCAGAAATTGGCTGCACTGTATGATTTATTTTCCTAAGCAAAGCTGTTATTCTGAACTACAGTCACCTTGTCTTGAGCACTGCTTCTGACTGTTCTGCTACCCCAACCTACTGGAGCAACAGAACATGCTGCACTGAGCAAACTCAGGCACTATCTCAACCAGAAAGCTTATTAGCAGTGGTACAGAGAGGCCTTCAAACTGAAAGACAGTGTCAGAGAACTGGGCTGCAACACAATCACAGGCTACCAGCAGCTTTAAAATCTTACTAAGCAAATCTATCCTCCAAAACCCCTTTATTGCCAGTTCTTGGGCAACTGCATCATCTCTTATTGGACCCAGATCAAGAAAAACACTGAAGACTGGAGGAGAAAAGAAAAAGGGAAAAGCTACACATGCTATTTTTGAATGTAGGTTATAAAATGATTAAGGCAGAAAAGGAGCAAGAAATGGTGAAAGAAAGTGACAGAGCAGGATGGAATAAACGGGACTCAAAAACCATGCTGGTTAGTTTTGAAACCTGTGCTTACATGCCTGTTACCCACGCAGAACTACGCATGGCCCCACTGATGTAAGTGGTACTTACGTGTCTTGGCTTCATTGGACCCTGTCGCGGCTGACACTGCATCCTGTTGTTATTTGGCTGCTGCTGCGTGGCCTGCATGTGAGGCCTGAACTGTGGCTGGTTCATGGGCATCAAGGGCTGTGGTGGCCCTTGGAGATGATGATGGTGTTGCTGCTGCTGCTGCTGGTGATGGTGCTGCTGCTGCTGCTGGTGATGGTGCTGCTGAGGCTGAGGTTGTGGCTGAGGCTGTAATGGAGGATGCAAAGGACCCTTCACATAAAGAGAAAGATTGGGTTTAGCTTCAAGGTAATAAACTCCTGAAAAGTAGCCCCAGGCTCCCAAGTCCTCAAAACATCTGTAAGCAGCTATGGACTGGGCTAAATCAAATATATACTGAGTATAAACCAGACTAACAGAAGCTGCGCAAGGCAGTTCTACACTTAAACCTGTGTTAAGTCAACAGCTGAAGTGGAAAAAGACAAATGCAAGGGTTCCTGCCCTCTGCCCCCTTTTGTAATGACTTGTAAACTGTTTGGGTTTTGGTCGTTTTTCTTTTTTGTTTTCTTTTTTTCCTTTTGTTTTTCCCCCAACATCACCAGACCACAGGATTTCCCGACGTTGAAAACACAGACACCAGGAAAAGAACCCACACAAAGCCCACCGACCACGCAGGGCCCTTCACATCACCCTGCAACATCCCCAAAACATTGACCCGCTTCAAGCTTCGATTCAGCTTCCTCCCGGGTTTGCGGGAGGCCCCCCGGCTCCCTGCCGGGCTGCGCAGCTGAGCGGCAGAGGGAACTTAAGGAGGAGCCAGGGCCGGGCCGCAGGCTCACTAGCGGAAATACATTAGTGCTGGCAACTGGGGAGAAAATAAATCACTTTTAAATGTTACAGGTCCATCTGCCTCCTACCTGTAATCTCAAATAATCCCACTTTAGTTACGTGAGTCCTGTAAGCCTACAAGGGGCCACTCGGCATGTTCCTTGTAGGCCCCTTCCCGCTGCAGCCCCGTACCTGCATGCTGGGCTGCGTGTGTGCGGCGAGGAAGGGCTGTCCGGGAGCCTGCAGGAACTGCTGCCTGGGAGGGATGAACGGCCGCGGGTTTGCTGAACCCGGCTGGTTGAAGTGGAGAATCCCCACGGGACCTTGCGGCTGCATGTTCGGCCGCACCGGCCGCTCCCTGGGAAACACCGGTTGCTGTCCCTGCTGATTGAACGCTGGCCCAGGCTGGCTGAACGGCATCGGATTTTGGGTAGGGACAGGGTGCGCGCTGTTAAGAAGCGGTGGAGGTGGCGGTGGTGGGGGGCTCCGCTGCTCGAACAAGTGATGGCTTGGAAACCTCGGATCTGTGGGAATCAGGTAAGTACTTAAATGACAACCTCCTTGGGACACAAACACACTTTCAAAACACAAAGCTCTATTTTGACTTGGAAAAGTAACCTGAAATTTGTAAAAAGCAAAAATCTTATGAGATGTTTTAATTTTAAGAGCTACCCTCAAGGTTACATTTCTCTTGCTTCTGCCACCTGTGTATAAAACGAACTGATGCTTGAAAGATCAGCGCAACTGGTAATTCGCCTGAATTAGGAATACCTTTTAGGAATTCTATGAAATCAATGAAGGATTCCAGGGATTAGAGTTTAAAATATGCAAGAACCCACAAAATTTTGATGCCATTTGCCAACCAGATATTTAGCAAAGTTTTATATATTGTGTGTGTGTGTGTGTGTAAAATATCTATAAAACTTACATTATATATATGCACATTATATATATATATATGCGTATCTATATATACACACACACTATTTTGTTTGCTATGCTGATACATTTTAGCTAACCTTAAGAGATTTCTTACAGTACGCATATAGTCCAGATGGTTTAAAGAGTTACTATTGGAAACCAAAGTGTGTGGAGAAGTACCAGTTATCTAAAAACGTAACAAATCACAACAACTTTATTGCAACAATCACTTAGATACTAGTTTTATTTTGTAGCTGTATAAATACACAGATTGATGGTAGTTACAGATGGAGACAGAAGATTACATCAGGGAAGGAAAAAGATACCAGACCACCGGAATTTCTGGCATGTACTAATCTGGTTACAACAAACAGGGTCTTCTGGTCGTCAGGCTCTTCCAAACACTTCATGTTATATGATACACACTTAACACGGCATAACCACTTTACAAAAAGTGGATTTTGTACGTTCATGGGAATGAAAATGCCTACCTGCCATGAAGAAAGGATCTCTTTCCTGAGGAGGCGGAGGAGGGAGTGGTGGTGGCGGTGGTGGTGGCCCTCTCCACTGGTCCTGGATCGGCAGCCTTGGGGCTTGGGAGAAGTTGGTAGGAACTGGTCCAGGGGTATGCTGCTGAAAGTCTGGAGGGCCCTATTTAATAAGAACCGAGATTAAGACTACCATCCAGCAAATTATGTATAGCCTGCTATAACTTTTTTCTCTTAAAAATACAATTGCTTTATGAGTTATCTCCTATCATCTGTATAAATTGGCAGCCCTTAGTGGAAGAGATATTAAACCCCAGTACAGTATCTTGAAATGAATTCACAATGTTTTAATGATCACTAGCACCACAGGAA